CTTTGTAGGAGTCTTATAAGCTAGGGAATTTAATATCCCTGCAATGAAGATGAGACAATGTAGTTTATAATTTGAAGTGCTATAGGTAGCTGTAAACAAAATAATTAAAAAAACCTGAGCGTCTAGGGCTTTCACATTTCTTTAAGTACATGATCATCCATGTACTTCCAGATTACTTTCCTCCATTTGTAAGTAATTTGGTGGGAAAGCAAAAGCATGAAAATTCCACCCAGCTATTATGGGGTGACCAGAGAAGTCATCACAAGAGTATACGGTTGCTGCCAGCAAAAAGAACAAGGTCATGGTAATTCTCTTCAATCTACTGCAGTCTTCAAGGCTGGGCATCTCCTCCTGCCCTGAGCACGCTTCAGCTGTACTGAAATTTGTTAGAGCTCCATCTAACAAATGTTAGAGCTCCAGCACCAACTCTGGGCTGTGTGGCTCCGGAATATTCAAACTGAGATTAGTGAAAGCATGGAGCTTAGGTCACACAAAACATTCTCTTGACTGTGGAAGGTGGTAATAGCCCATTTAAGGGGAAAAAAAAAAAAAAAAAAGACAAAGCTTTTTTAAAAAAGCCACCATTTATTATGGTAAGTCAAAAGTTAAACCCTCATGAAGATTTACAGCCTGCTCATCTCAGATGGTCAGTGCCTACCGAATGAAAAATTTTAAGAAATTTACTAAGAGTAGCTTTGTTTCTATGCAACCAGAACCTATTAAAGGCCCTTGCCTCATTTTGTTTGAGCTTCAAACTGAGCAACTAATTGCTTTCAGATTATTTATATTTTGAAAGATGCAAATTTCTGACTGAAGATGCCCCCTATTACTTCCATTAATTCTAATTAATTAATTTAAAATTTTGGCTGAGAATTTTCATCAGTGCAGCACAATGAAAATATTTTTATAAAACCTTACCTATTCTTTCACACTTGCGATTTTAGCAGTAGTTTCATAAATAGTTCAGTAGGAACAAGTTGGGGGGATGGAAAAGAAATGTTTTACGATTTGCAAGGCATGACAAAGACCGTCTAAAGCAACCCTCAGGACAAATTTACTTGACTGGTAAGTTTCATGAATGAATGTGTCTTATCTCTCCCTATTTAAAGACTTACAATCATCTCTACACTTTTAAATTAATATTCTGAGCTTCATCAGGAGCAGTAGGTATAACAGCATACATGCCAACAGTCACATATCCAGTTTAAGTTTCTTCAGACACTGAGAAGGTGTAGAAACAGGGAAAATTATACCTGCGCATAGCTGAAAATCTCTACTTCAAGAAATAAGGACTGGACATCTATGACAGCTGAAAACAAAGGCTGTGTGCATGGAGCAGAACCAAACCAATTAATAACACTTAACACTAAAGATTTTGAAAACTTCCAAGGTTAGTACACTCCCATTTTATTTTCCCATGCTAATAATGTGTTTGACTGTGTTTTCAAAACTTACTTTTTTCCACTAGAGAGTATAAGAGGACCATATTATCAATAAAGAAAAATCTATCTTCCGTGTTAATAAGCCCCTATGTGGTGTCCATACACGCATCCAAGATAAATTAGATCTAATTACTTGAGAACATAACTTTCAGGGAAGCTGATATAAATATTCCTAGTTTTCAACCTTCTAAGGTCCAAGTATCCATAACTGTAAGATTTTTGCCTTCAGTCTGATTCTGGAATAAGAAATAGAATTATTTTCTAAATGAGACTGTCAGAAAGAAGAGAAGACATTACGTTATACAGCTCATCCTTCCCTAAGGCAAAAGCCAATATTTGGCTAGAGATTGCGTAGCAGATACACAGCATTAGATAATTACACAGTGAGGACTGTATTCTTACCTAGCAAGCATTTTGACATTAAACTTGTCTTGCCTTCCCTAAGACTCTTAATACAGTGACAGAAAATAAACGTAGAATAAAGGTATTTTTAACTGCCATTTGAGAATGCCCTATACTGTGAGAGTTATAAGTAAAACAAAGTCAACACTGTGATACTCAGAAGAAAATATAAACTAATTCTTCAAGTCATTATGTTCTGGCGAGTGTGTGCTAAACTGTTTAGTTCCCATAGCTGTTCTTTAAAACAGAATAAATCTTGCTGTGAACTAGAAATGAATACACCAAGTTCTTTTCATTATACATCACTGGGTATAAAAATTCCCTCCTGCTGAAACGCTGCATTCATGGTTCAAGGTGATGTTATGAACACTAATGAAAAGAATTCAAGCTCTTCTTATATAAGGATGGGATGCTAAAGAACATGTTTGGAATCTTTGTTTTCCATAATCAGTCTATGCATGAGATCAGCATTTCCAAATAACTTCACTAACAACTAGATTTGTTCCTATAAATGTTTTTCCTCAATAGCCAGTGTCATTATTCCACTAATCCTTCCAAGATGAGGCTGTATTCTTAACAGCCTGGAACTGAGGGTGAAGGCTATTACAAGCTTACTGATATCAAATGTGTCTAAGTTTATGAGTTTAAGAGCCTTTAGAAATTATCTTCTCTTTCAGCACAGAGTCCTGCTGAAGTAAACTTTCTGGAGAGAATACATATCTCAAAAATATTACGATCGTAGTTGAAGAGATTCTAGGAACACACCACAAATAGTGAAGACTGAAAATATCACCCAACAAAACTATCCATGTAAGGATTAAAAAAATAAATTTCCTTTGTATGGACATACCAGGAGGAATCATCAACATTTGGTCTCAGCTGTGATAACATTGTTAATGATGACACTCCTTGGATAATCTTCAGACTACTACCTAACATTTTTGCACTGAAAGCAAACAGGAGACTCCCAATTACTGAATGTATTTGTTAATGTTGCCCCTATAAGTTTGTCCTGTAACTAAGAAAGATACAAAACTCACATAATTCCATAAGCATTCGAAGTGACAAGTCGTCTCTGTTAGGAAATACAGTCTCTTCTGGAGAGCACATGTTGTATTTTTTTATTTAAGGTGGACATTCAAGAACAGACAATGACTACCTTTTTTGCTTAATACAGAATCCACACAGGCTGATGTCCATTGAAGATTTACCCTGAGTTACTAGTATGCAACTTCTAGGAAGCCTGTCTCTAAAACAGAAGCAACAGTAAAGAACTGGGCTGAGAAACCCCTTATTCCATAAACTGGCACTGCACTATCCATACCACTCTTGTCCTATACAGCGTTCTCTGCATACAATGTAAGAGGAAATGGCTTTGCAAATAACTAGGTCTGCACACTGCTGCAGAGGTTCCTGGTTTCAGACAAACTGGGATGTCTGGCCACACTGGAAAGCAGAAAAAACCCTAAAACCTTCAGAAGTTAAGAAGCAAGACAGATAAAAACTGGAACCACGGCAGTGAAAGATGTTCCCCCGTGGTCCATCACTGGCACATCTGGTTTCACTTCTGCTTCTAAAAGCAGGCTGAGGTCTTCCTTTTAATAAAGCCTTACATGGCAGGAGAACAAAGACTAGATAAAGATACAAAAAAATCCCTTCTAATTATGTTATAAAAAAAGCTCTTAAAAATTATTATATCTACACTACTGACAGAGTAAGAAATCAGTTTCTCATGATCTTCTTATTTGAATAACACAAATCATTATCTCTTCCTCACAACCTTACTTTCTAGGGGGGTTGTGTTGTTTTTACCATCAGTGTCTTGGCAAAGTGAGGTAGAGTTAAATTTCATGAACCTCTCTACATAGATGCTAGAAACACTCTGTCCTCATTTCACTTCCACATTGTATGCAGAATTTTTAATAAGCTGTAATGTCCTCTGTCAACTATTTAGCTTTTATATTTTTTCTGAAAAGCAACAAAAAATATTAGGAACATGTACTGCTTTTTTGTTCTTCCTAGTGTTATGTATGCAAAGCAATGAAAGGGAGAGTTGAAATCTCTTTCTTCTTCTGCATCAACAGATCATTTAATAAATTCCAGTGCAGCTACAGTTGTGCAACCCTATTAAACACAATGGAGTTATAGAGGCATAACCAGAGGCTTAATTTGGCTACCAGCATTTTTCTTACTCATGCTAGAGAATAAAAAGGAAAGCACCCAGCCTGATTTCAGGCTGACAGTTAGGAGAGAAATGAATCTTTTTTACCTTCCTGAAGATACGTGTTATGGAAGCATGTGTTTTCTGAGTCACCGGTAACACATGAATGCAGTAAGAGTTCAAATTCTACTGACTGACGCAGGGGCAACCAAACTTTCTGGCTGTATACGTCACCCTCCAACGTCAGGACAGTCCTGTATCTATCCTGCAGGAGCGTACAGTCCTGTACTCCCACAAGTTCTCCATTTAGCACAGATAAATAGCAGCTATCTTGAACAATCCGTGATTTCTGAATGACTGAGGCTGAACTGAACACACACATACTGGAAATCCAACGTTTGTAGAACTCTCAGCTATGCAGCACCTATGCTGAAAGAATATACTGCTCGTGCAGGTAGTTATAACCCCCTTGTGCTTCTGCTGCCCAGAGGGAAGCTGAGCAGCACACCTCAATCACTGCTCCACCACTGGCCATCACCTTGCCTGGACAATCTTCACCTTTCCCTTACGTGACCAGCATCAAACCATACCGTGACAGGGAGAGAGTAGCAGGACTTCCAGTACAACTATATTAGCTTTTCTGTCAGGCTGTAGACTGAGAATGCCCAATCCAGGTCTTATGCATGTACACAGGGAGATATTACTGTATTTCTTAGAAGTTGTTTCTGAACAAACAAGCGTGTCTCTTTTGACAGCTGGCAAACTAAAGCAAGGGGAAGTTCCCTACAAGCTTCTTGCATGCCCAGAAAAAGGTGAGATGCAAACTGAACCTAGATGTGCTTATCAATATCCCACAGTTCAACCACAGGCTATGGTTCCACATTGAGAAACCAAGCAAATTTGAATACCATTTCCATTAGTATTTAAAACATGATCATATCAGCTATTCAACTTTAGATATTCCATCAGTCTTAGCTCACAGTAAGATGACATACCCATCATGTCTACTTTTCTTAGCAGATAAATCATCTCCTGCTGCAGGTCTCCTCTTTTTCCTTGGAGGCATCACTTTACTAAAGCAGTCTGATGAACTGCAAGACCGGAGACTTCCTACAGAGGGAATTAAAAACACCAGTACAAGAAATGAAACTCTTGCAGACCAGTTAAACTGTGTCCACTAATAGGCATATTACAAAGGGAAGGGAAGGGAGGAAGTTAGTGGATATAAAAATCACAAAAGAAATGGTCTCCTTTCAACAGTAAATCTCACTTTTACATGGTGCTCTATGACCAGATTTCAGTTCAGGCCAAAAGTATCATACAAAAATGTACAGTAGTGCTACTGCAGCCTAATGAAAGGCAAGAACTGAGACTATCCTGAAGAAGTACTCAAGGCCTCAAAAAAGGCATCCTTATTTTCAGTCATTTATTCATATCAGAACAGGATTCTGAGAGTCGTTCATTAGTTTTTGAAATATGGATGTGACTCAAAAACTAGAGCACCTACCTCTAGAAAACTGAACCTTTATATTTTGAAGCCCCAAGTTTTTTGTGATACAGAGAGCAAGGGGTAGGAAAGGTTTTGTTTTGTTTTTTCTTTGGGTTTTTCGTTCATTTTCTTTCTTTGGGGGAGGGTGGGGAGGAGGGAAGAGACATTAAGCAACCACAAGGGGAAAAATAAGTGGCTAGCTGTATCATTTGGACTGGATGGCTCTCAAAGAACAAGGTCCTCAAGCAGGAAACAGCCAATTCAAGAAACTGACACCAATCAAGTTGCAGTCTTTCCCTCCCCTTCTCTCAGCTACATACTCCTATGTCTCTGGTGACTCTTCAGTGTGCCAATCCAGCTTAGCAAACCTGTAGATAATTAACCCAAGCAAAAAAAAGAATAACAACTTTCTGTACATTAGCACAAGAAAGAGCACAGGACCAGCCCTTCTGACCACAGCAAGTCATTAAACTGCCTTTGCTGTCTCATGAAAACAGTAGGCTAACGCTCCAGGCAAAATTTTGTCCTACTTTCATATACTGAAGACCACATGGACACCTGAGAAAGGTGTGTGTGAGAGCAGCTCAAAGAGCTATCAAAGCTCTAGGTGTTACGCAGAGAATTTTAAAAGGAAAGGAAGAGAGAGGTGAGGTATAAAAATCCAGACACAAAGCGATGCCAAAGAAACTTGCAAGAAAACACGAAGAACTCCAGCATGCCTGAGCTACCTTCTCTCAGCTTCAACAGCATCCAGGTTTAGCTTTGCTTTATTAAGATGCCCACATCTTTTATTTTAAATCACAGCACAGAAGCAAGCAATAAAACTTTGTCTACTTTTTGACACCAAGGGAGCAGACTGAAATCAGAGGCCCAGTTCCCAACAAATACTAACAGTGATCTTTTGCTTACCTATTCTTCGTATCTTTGAAAGTCTCTCTCCTGTTATAGGAGAAACACATGTAAGGAACCTTACAGCCCCACAGGCTTTGCTACATGTACTTTATTTTAAACATGCACTGAAACTATTATGCATATGAAAGTATGGATTTTTCTAGTAGGCAAAATTGTCAAATCAGTTTCTACATCAAGGTGAATTAATTTGGTTTCAATTAATAAAGCTTTTGCATTTAGTATGCCTTCTTTGGTCTTACCTTTATATTCACTTCTATTAAGAAAATTAATCTTTCTAGTTCAAGAAATACTCTTGCCAATTCGAAAATTCTTCCTATCTACTCCTTTTTATTTTTTTTTATTTTTTTTAAACCCTAAAGCTCCCCCACCCCAGCATCCTCCCCAGGAAAAGTATGGCCATACCTACACTATCTTTTAGAAACAACATTTTAAGAGTATTCTAAATTCAAATTATAATTTAACTAGTTATTAAAAAAATTTCCAAGCATTATACTCTATAAACTACTAACATATAAAAAAAATCATAATGGCCGTGTCAGAAGAAAATAATTCCAGAAGCACTGTTCAGAATAAGTTATAAAAGGAAATTAACAATAATAATGTTTATCTTCTTCTCACCAATATCAGATGTAATTGAAACAGATAAGCCAGATACCATAAAAAAAAATTCACACCGAAAACACCTGATGCACTTTACTACTTGGATTAAAGAAATTAAGGAACCTGACCTGCTGAATGCCATTTGTTCCATCTGATTATGGCTACAAATTAACGATACCACAAAACTGGGAACACGCCTAAGTTACTGAAAGTGTGATGCTTTATGGTTTTTTAGATGAAGATTCTGAAGACTCTGCCAGTATTTTTTGAATGCCTACACAAACTAAAAACACTTAAGATGACAGCACAACTTAACAAATGGCTATAGACAGCCAACAGACTCAAACACACACTAAACTTAATAAATGAAAACGTGTGCTAATGAACCCCTTGTTCTGGGAAGTATGTATGTACTTGAGTACAACCTGTAGATATCTCATTCCTTAGAGAGCAATTTGATTGTTTTTAAATGCCTTTCTATTAAATGAAAGTCTCCATTTATGATGGCCACTGGCATTGGATGCTGGTAAAATGCAACAAAAACCACCACCCACCCACCCCCCCCAGGGTTTGTCCAGTTTATTGGTTATTTGATTGGGAAAACTAAAATGCAAGGCCTCTGTGAAAAGAGAAGCATAGCAAAAGAAAAAAATAAAGTAGAAATAAAACAGTTACAGAACAGGAAAATAATTTTGTCAGATCTGCAACCGATACAAACCAAAGAATTTAACCCAAGAATTCCTGCTTGAAGTCTTTTCCTCAACAAATAATAGGACATTTTTAGGAAGATTGCTGAACTTGTTCTGAAGGCTTAAATTGGTAATAGACTTCACCATAACTCAATTTCTCCAGTGACTCATACGATAAACTTGTACCCTTTTCTTGGTTTGAATGTATCCAGTTGCAGCTCTCAAATTGACAGAAAAGGGAAGAAAAGACACAGCTCAGAAACTGGGAAGTAGCTATTAAATGCACATGTCGTCCTCACACACAAATACACACAGACACCAGGTGGACAAATACATGGTACATGCCTTCAGAGATTGAAATTCTTAATAACTGAGGTCTGGACCAAGCCTTCACTATGTTTTAACCACTGAATGATCTCTAAACTACTAAAAAACACAATATAGGAATGTTACTTTAAAAGCATTTCTGTTTGTTACCAGAATCATATATTGAGTTTAAAGGGCAGTCGTAACTTCCCTCTAACAAACTCTCAAAGTTAAACCAGCAGAATATTTTTATTTTTTATATCTACCTTCCCTACACAGAGCTTTCTAATTCTGAATGTAATGTCTAGCTCTAGCCTTTCACAACTAATTACACTTCTCAAAGGTCTGATCATCTGCAAACGAACATGCTGCTCCCTCTGACTTCATGCAAAGTTTGACAGGAACTTTACTTACCAAGCGCAGCTTCTCTGATGTGATTATCTTCAAAGTTTCTTACTCCTGGGTCTCAACTCAAGACTGGCAGAACCCTCCTAGTTCTCACTGTTTTTTTGACACTTGAAGCTAGCATTTGCAAGGTAGAGCCTCCAAATGGCTGCTGAATAGGCCACCATCAGCCAAAAGCCTGCCGAGCATAAATGTTGTTTGCCAAACGTCCTATTCAGTACTTCCAAATTTGCAGGAGACAAAGCTACCAAAGGGAAATAGCAGCTCAAGAGCTAAAATTCACCCTAAGAAATTTAAAACGATATGCAAGATAATCACCACAAAGGAGGGACACTCCTAGAATAGCAACAAAACCAGAACAAACAAAAAAGAGAAAACAGAGGTCAATAAATAAGAATTCTGTAAGCTGTGTCCCTACAGAAGTGATTTACAGACATGTAATTTTCACCTTCTCTCTAGATAATGCCTGTGAATAGTCCTGCTCCTCTGATGCTTAAGTAGAAGGATGTTTCAAAGGAAAAAATAATTAGAAACTGTGAATGCTGAAGCAATTGGAAAGATACAGCTGCTCACTTAATGATGCAAGGAGACCGCCACAAGCACAGTTAACAATCACCATTTTACAGATACAAGATGAGAAAACTAAGATACTCATCAAAACATCAAACGACTTGCAATCTTGTAGTAAAAGGAAAAATCATCTTCTCTATCTTGAATTCCACACTACGGAATTGCCTTAGTCTCAAGTGTGTTTTCTTCTCTAAAACAACAAAAAAATAGTAGAGGCAAAAGTAATTTACACACACACACAAGCTTGAAGAACAGCAATGAAGCCTTGTTTTTGTTGAAGACATCACCTCGTTCTTTTAAACAAGCCAAGCGACAACAGAAAGTGTACTTTCACTTTAAAGACATTTTAGTCTGGATAGGTAAGTCAGTCACAATTTGGTGGGTAAGTCACCAAATCATGACTTTAAGCTACTAACAAGATGATAGATTTGTAGTTATGACCCCAAAACAACTATTATTTCAAATTCTAGAGAGGGAGTTTTCCAAGTTAATGCATATATATACTAGAAGAAAAATAAATTGTTTACAGAATCTGAATGCCTGCTTTTCTTACCCCTACAAACAGCTGAAAAGGCAAAGGCCCATCGCACATTTACAGCCTACCTTATAGTTCAGATATATCCGCATACTGAATGCTAACACATTTTATGAGGCTGTAATCATTGCAGGTGACTGGAATTTTGAAGCGAGGTCCATCTTAGCTCCCAAATCACTGGAGGAATTTTAAACTTGCCATGCTCTAGCTCTTAGATATTTAAGATCTGGCTCAATAAAAGAAATATGGCTGATACACAGAAAAGAGATAATTTTCTTAAAATAATTTAGCTGTCCAGTACATTTACTGTTAGGTCAGAAACAACTGTTTTGAAATAAGTGTAATATTTGAAATAAACTTAATATGCATTAAAAGCCCATTATAACTATTAACCTAAAATTGAAATACTCAGATTTTTTAAACAGCTTTTAGAAATCTCAACCAAATTTAGATATGCATTTATTAAGTCACCTCAAAAGCAGGGCCCACGATGTCATAACATTAACCAAGATAGTTATGTCAGAAAACAAATAGTAATCTTGAAGGATAAGGCTTGCTCCCAAAGGCTCAGAATGTAAAAAAAACCCCATATAATAAAAAAAACTTACAAAATAAAAAAATCTCAAAACTAAAAAAAAAAATCATCTTTAGATGGATTTGGTGACAGTCAAAGAATCTTTTGCAACAGAGTTATTAACATGACTTTCAAATGATTTCTAGATAGAGAATCTCAATTTCACAGCACCTATGCAGTTCTTATAAACTCCATAATAAAATTAATCGGTTTTGACACTTCTTACTATGCAGTCAGTAACACTGGAAAATACAAGTTCCAAAAAGTTAAGCACATTAAAATCAAACAATTTGCAAAAGTAGTATTTTTTAGATGTACACAAGGCTGTCCAGTAAGATGTTTCAGAAGTGTCAAGTCTCCTACAGAATAGACACGGGAGACTTCACTGTACTATGTTCACAATGGCCAAAATAGCTCCTTGCATGTGTATTTATCCTCATATGAGGAAAACCAAGCACACATTTCAACTGAATTTGACTGGAAGTTATGCAAACATCGGGCCTCCATCTTCTTCTACAAGGGGACATAAAACAGGGCAGAAGCATAAGAAATACTGGAATGAAATCTGAAGGTGAGGAGCCTGCCAGGATCAACCTCTGCTTTTGGTTCTCATTCGTATTTGTTGCTGGTTTGAGAGGTTCTTTTACAACTATTGCGAAAAATTACACTCTTTGCTGGGATTTTGTGCCCAAACTCATTTGGTGGGCGTGTTTAAGCTTTTTAAACAGCTTAATTCGAACACCACAATGCAGGCAATAGGATAACCATGAGTGTCAGTATAAAGCAGTTCATCAAAACCAGTAACATGCTCAAACACCTTCCGATAGACATAGTAAGAGCTCTGAGGCTAATTTCTTATACTGAGCTTTATGGCAGAAGTGCTAGGCAAGAGAGAAGATACCTTAAGCACACCTGCTCTTATTGATTGATCAGTGACAGAAGGGAACTACCTCAATGCTTCACAACAGCTTTTTGTGATTAAAAGTAAACAAAGATTACGGAACGTATTTTCATACATGAAATCAGCATGTGTCTGCGTTTAGTTTTGAGCATCTGGATCACAAAGGGGAAAATTTCAAGTGTCCATCAGAAGATGGGAGAAGACATCAGTTCTAACACACAGAAAATAAAAGCTCTGTCTTGAATTACCTGCCTCAACCTCTTTTGCAGATGTTTTTCATTTACATGATCAGCTAATTTCAAGTATCAAACCACTGACCACACTGAAAGAAAATATTTGATAGAAGCCCTTTGTGGCTAGGGTAAGATAGTTCACCTATGAAACGAAGTCACCTGTCACAGTATGGAGGAGGGCACATAAGCCCTAAGCAAGCTCTGTCCCATCCCAAACAATGCAGTCCTGTGCATCTCTCCTCATTGCTCTAGGCTAAGAGTGTGCTAGATTTATAAGCGCGTCCCAGAAATCTCCAGGAGGAGCTGACAGCTCTCTCCGCTTTCTTAAGCGCTCAAGGTAACATCAGCAAACGCAGCCAGCACCTCAGGATAGAGAAAAAAAAACTTTGAGGCAGATGGTAGGACAGATAACGGTCAGTTTTAAAGAACAGTTCTGCTGAGCGATCAGGGCTTGAAGCCAGTAAGTTATTTTCCTTCCTTCTTAGGTATCATGCCTGAAACACAGAAAGGAAGGAAGAAAAAGAAATCAAGGCAGACGCCAGCTCACAAGTAACAAGTGTAAAAGGAGATAACAAATGTTGGGAGACATCAAGTCACAAAGCACAACTCCTGATGAATCAAGGATGGCAGCAAGCTAGTACCAGGCACCTGAGACGAAAGCCTCGAGAAATGATGACATTTTATTGAACAGAAAACAGATCCGGACTAATAAATAGCCCGTGGACAATGACTGAAGATCTGCACAAGGAACAAGAAGAACCTGCATCAGAAGCAGTGCAGGAAAAAGCTGGGTTGTTTGGAGCACAGCATTTACACTCGGTCACAGGCACCACAACAGCCACCAGAGCTCTTGCTTCTGCTCAGTTCTCACCAACGCTCTTTCAAGAGTCAAAACACCATAAGAACATGGATGTTCTGCTAGCCTGAAGGGTTGAGTCCAAGGAGTGAGAGAAACCTTTCATGAAGTCTTCTAAAGTACTTAAGCTAAGAAACAGTGAAACGACAGATAGTGCCAAAACCTGTGCGAGTCCTTCACAAATGGATAAATTAAAGGCACAAGCATCTATTGTGAAGATAACTTTAAAAAAATCCTGGCACTTGTTTTCTGAATCTCCTTTAGCTTTCTAAAATATAATTTGCTGTGACATTAAGGAGGCTCCTTTGATGAAGCATGTTTAAATTGTTTCAATCTATTTCTGCTACATCCCTATTAAATACCTGTCTGGCGATCGTCTTGACCAACGTCCTCGGTCAGATTCTGCAAGAGAGTAGGAACAATACAGTTAAACAAGATGGTGACCTTCTTTGTTCAGTAATTATTTTAACCTTTATTTGATATCAATATTAATCTTAATTACTTAAGGAGAACCTAGCTAAGACTGTAAAGCCTTTGTGTTTTCAGTTCATATTTATGTAAAAAGTGACCCTTGCAAATTTGTCTAAATAAAGTTCAAGGATATTCTTTAAATAATTTGAAAAAATATTTTTTATTTTTTTTCTATCAAACGCATAATAAAATTTTTCAGTTCATATTTATGTAAAAAGTGACCTTTGCAAATTTGTCTAAAAAGTTCAAGGATATTTTTGATTTTTTTTCTATCAAACCCGTAATAAAACTATGTTTCAAGAATGGAAATAACTATCCATTGGATGGGGAATTTTGCATTGTTGTACTGAACAATGCCATTAACAGACACAGCATTAGAAATACTGAATTTACCGTTTACCACAGAAACGGCTTTGCTTAAGGATAAATGCATATATGTGTTCTAAAGAAAACTGATTAAAAACCAACTGAAATCTTGGAAATGAGTTATCCTCTTTTTTTAGGCAATGTCCTCTCCACTAAATTTGCAGGGTACAAAGAGAAGCCATATCGGCATTTCCAGCTATGGCTGCAACACAACAAATGCAAAAACACAGCAAACAAGCAGGGACAGTCTTCAAAAAAAAAAATCCTCTTTCACTCTTGGCATGGTCCCAAGAGGAGAGGTTGCTCATTCAATATGTTTTCCACAAGAACTGGAAGAAATTGGATAACGATGATGATTACCATTATTTGATATATCTAGGAAAGCTTCTTCTATGGAGTCAACATCTAAACCCAAGGCTGCAGACGGAGAGGACAGTGCTCAAACTCTGCTCTGACCCCTGGAGTATAATCTTTCACCTTTTCCTAACACTGCTTATCTCTTTAACGGATTCAAAACCAACAGCCTCTCACACAAAAAGGCGGTGACACTTTAACGGATTCAAAACCAACAGCCTCTCATACAAAAAGGCAGTGACAGGTTAATTTTTTTTTTTTTTTATTAAAGTGTAATCACTTAATGATTTCAATCCCAAAATATTCTGGACTAAAGTTCTAGCTATTCTGCTGAGAGAAAATGGCAAGTCATTACCAGCCTATTGAGGGTGTGGTAAATCTTGTGAATATTTGCCAGTGTTGATAGGTGAGAATTCAGTTGAAAATCTAGAGAGGAAAAAAAAAACAAAGAAAAAGTTTTAAACTCTCTGGTTTCCAGCTGTAGCAATACAAGACCTTCAGGTGTTCTGGACATTTAATAAAATCACCACACAACTATGAATTAAAAGCCATCGCAACACGTTTTCAGCATCAACATTTTCAACTTCGAGTGGAATCAGTAAGTTAAATCTGCAAAAGATAACCTACATATACATTTTTCTTAAGCCATGGGTGACCCTCAGCTACAGCTAAATACAAAATTGAATCAAAAAAGTGAAAAAAATAAATATTTACAACTTTTCCCCTTTCAATTGGGAACCATTATAATTTCCATGCTACCCAGTCCTTCTGTTCCATCTATTCCAAAACCAATTTAAGTACCATGTACATTCTAAAATCATTACTAAAAATGCCACTTTTTTGAAAAAAAAAAAAAGACATTAAACCACAAGTACTTGCCTTTATACTAATTTCCTTGCAAAACTAAGTTACTGGAATACACTCACACAGCTGAAATATGACTTTTGTATAATGAACCAAACATCACAATACAGCAGCTGTTAAGACCACAGCCAATAAAACCAAAAATAAAATATTCTGACACTTCATGAAAGAAGCCATAACATAAATGTTAACTTTGCTTCCATGCTCCAAAAATAAAACACTTGACTTTGCTTCAGTTGCAAAAAATGTAACAAACTACTTTTTCTCTATTCTCTTAAACCCCCTATTTTTGCTAGAAATGTGTCGAGGACAAGAATAGAAAATAAGTAATTTACAAAAAAGATCAGCTGTGATCCAGCCAGAGAACACACAAACCAAGAAGAAGCTCAGAAGCTGGACACAGACCAGCTGAGAGGGATCAAAGACCGCCAACTACTATACAAGTTTCCATTTAAAGGAAAAGTAAATTAGCTATCCCACTAGAACTTGTGTGCAAAACCACTCTAATTAAATAGAGACATGTACTATATAATAAGCAAAGTATTTCAAGCAAAATTCTTCTGTACATGAAAAGCTGGATGTGCCCAGTGTCACTGCCCAGTTAATGCATTAGAGCATTTCTGATGTAACACATTTAATTTGGCTTTGCTCAGTAGCTGATGCTTGTACAAGATACAAGTAAGGTCAAAAACATAATTCCTACATTTCCATTCCTACCATTTCAAATGAATGCTGTCAAAATA